ACCTGTTGGAACTAAGGATGGAGAGTCTAAATCAGTCAGAAATCTGAATATTGAAATCTTTGGGAGCATCCTTTAAGCAATAACCCTTCTTGTGACAGTGACGATCAACAGATGTGTTCCAGTAAGCTTCCTAGTCCGATAGTTCAATCTTCACTGCTCTTCTACAAACTGAATAGATTGATCAGTTATGAGGAGAAGGAGATCCTTGTTAATCCGAGAACCCCTCCAATAACTTGATGTACCTTATCATCATGTACTTTATGGGCAGTGGTTCTTATCGACGCATCATCATGATAAGCCTTTCTTCGCCACATCTCTTCCAATGCTTCCCCTGCAAGTAGTCGTTGATAGTCGAATCAAAAACTACGTACAATGAGAAAAATATTTGCATCCAATAAATTATTGATTAACGACTTATGATGACTTTACATTGGCATGCTTATCAAAATATTGTAGCTGCCATAGCCAGTGCTGAGATCTTGCATAGAACTGGTTTTGTAAAGTTTCTGGTGTTACCAGGACATGGCTGATTTTCTATTGTGTGCTCCTTCTTACCAAGTTCCTGATCACTCTGAAGAATTTGTTTGTCTGACATATCCTATCTGGCCTTTATCATCCACTGTTGCATTAATTCCAATAATCGGTGGCCGATTCGAATTGTATGCTGGATTTAGTGCAAAGTTTTCGGCAGTTTCGGATTTCCAACATCTTTTATACTATTTTTATTCCATTATGCAGCTGTTTAGATTACACAGTACCCACTACTATGGATGAAAACCACGATTCGCCTACAGTAAAGAGTGAACTGCTCGCGTGGGTTCATACTATCGCTAACCAATCGAAATTGGTCTTAACATCAAAACTTTGTCTTACAGGGGAGAGGATGTGTCCTTCAACACGCATGCACTTCTGGTTGGTTCACTCCAAAGACAGGAAACCCAAAACTAAATAGTGATTATGTATTTAGACGTACGATTATGAGCGCGAGATTCAAATTCTGGAGCGAGATATCCGTCAGCAAAAGGAATCGAGTGTAAATGCTAAAACAGCAATTACTTTCGAACAACTGAGGAAAATTCACAAGTAAGTACACTCATCAAATTGAATTTATTATAATAAAAATGTGCACCTGCAGTCTAGGAAAACTGCTTGGTCCGCAAAAGGAGATATTTTTTGATAGGATATGCCGAGCTGCAGACATACAAAGAGCCTCCTTGAAGAACAGGCTTAAACAAAACAAAGAGGTTGTTAACAATGGCTTTCACGACATAACTGCGGCTTGAATCCGACTTTTTAAGAAATTCGAGCCTCCAACGTTGACCTCGTATCGATCCTACCAGGATTCGGGCACACCTAGCGACGGAGCATCCTGCTTAATTACACCACACTGGCAATCAGTCACTCAGTTCAACTGCAGCAATGAGGAGCTAGATAAGAAATTTGTAAGATTTTCAACTTTAGACATATTTTTCTATCTTGCAGCGGATAGTTACAAAGTTACAAGTTAAGCATATTTAAGAAATTGCTCATAGATTAGTATCAGTATACTAGAATCTTTTGAAAGATTTCCGATTACCCTTTTTTTCCAAGAAATTGATTTAGATGGGATTTTTGTAAAAATTTTGGAACCATACAAGCTCTTCTTTACTGCTCTTCCAAGTTTATAAGACATTGAACAACTTCAACTTTTTAAAAAATCTTTTGCAAGCTCGATTTGAAGTAGATAAACGTATTCAGTATTTGCAGTGAATATGAAGTAATAATTTTAGTTTGTTGAAGAAGATCTATACTTCCAAAGTATTTTTACAAAAATTTCATGTAAATCAATTTCCTGAAAAAAA